GCGGAGCGCTGCCGAGCAGGCGAGCCCATGGAGGCGCTGCTCAAGGGCTGGCGCAACGCTCTGCTCGAGCTCTCCGAGGAGGAGCGCGCGAGGGTCTTCGAGGCCATCGATGCACGGGGGCAGCCCAGGGCCTGGACGGACGAGCTGGTCGCTTCCTGGGCCATCGACTTCACCGAGCAGCAGCGCGGCCAGAGCCTCGCGTTCGCAGACAGCCTCGCGAGCCTGTGGGCCGAGGCAGCGGCGGTCCGAGCGTGGCTCAACAATGCGATCCACGCGCCCGTGGCCCCCGACGTCGCGAGCTTGTCGCAGGGGCCGGGCGCCCGCGAGCGCAGCCAGCTCGAGGCCGCGATCCGAGCGGTCGAGGCCGAGATGCACTGGGCCATGGGGCAGGGCTGGGCCCCCAGAAGCAGTGCAAGTCCCCAGCCCACTGGGGGCCCCGCGAGTGCCTCTACTGCGCCTCCGAGGCCTACGCCCGCTTCCGCGAGAAGAACAAGGGCGCGGTGCCGCTCCAAGGGCCGCGAGCGAACCGAATGCTCGCGGCCCTGCCGACAGAGCAGGGCGAGCTCAAGGTCGTCGGGGGCATGGGGCCGCGGAGCTGCTCCATCGAGCCCGGCCGCGGCATCGAGAGCAGCTTGGCGGGGGGGCGCCCGGGGGGCGCGCAGAGCTGGCCCGAGGGCGCGCCGCCCGTGTCTGAGTGGAGCGCCTTCGACGGGAACTGCTCCCACAGCGGCGATTTGCCCAGGGACTACGAGCAGGGCGAGAACCCTTGCCTCCTGGAGCTCCGAGAACTGGACCTCGAGCTCGCCGGCGAGCAGAAGGATATGCCGACAGCAGGTCGCAATGACAGGTGGGCGCCCAAGTTCGCGGGCCAGTTCCCGGGCAAGCGCGCGAGTGGCGGCGCAGGTAGGCCGCGACTGGCGGCGAGGCCTCGCTCGAGCACCTGGGCCGAGGCGCAACCTAGGCGAAGCTTGCAGGAAGGCAGCCGAAGGCGCGCGCGAGCTTCTCCAAGAAGTTCAACCAGAAGGAGAAAGCGCAGAATGACGCCAAGGAGAAGGACAAAACCAAAACAAATACAGGCCTCTAGGCGCGCGAGCAGCACCCCCCGGCACGGCAAGGGGGCGCGCGTCGCCGATGGGGGGCGTCCGCGAGGGCAGGCGCGGCAGAGTGCGGGGCGTCCGACGAGTCCTGGGAACCGAGGGCGCGCGCCGCCTGCGCGTCCTCGAGGTGGGCGCCGCGGCGATCTTCCAGACCGAGAGCAGCGAGGCTGGGGGGCTCGCGGGCGTCCGTCGGCTTCCGCCTGCTTCCGACTGAGGCGGCGGGCGCAAGCGGAAGCCAGCGGGAACGGCGGGGGCGACGGCGGAAGCGGCGGAAGTTGGCGGAAAGTTGGCGGGGGCGGCCGGATGCGACGCGAAGCGGAAGCAGGCGGAAGTTAATGAGTGCCTGTGGACTTCGTTCGCCACCGGTCACGATCGAGCAGGTCTACAAGTTCCCCAAGCCGCACAAGCTCGACTGGCGCCAGGCCAGACAGGGTCGCCGCAACGAGCTCGCCGAGGAGTGCGCGATCATGAACTGCGAGCTGATCGTCAAGGGCGACGCCCTCGAGCTGGGCACAGCGCGCGCGCTGCCGGGCGAGATCGAGGAGCGCGCGGGCGCCCCCGAGACCGCTCCGGCGGTCGAGCCTCGAGCCCGCGGCGGCCGCCGCCTGGGCCCGAGGGGGGCAGGGCGAGGGCGAACCCGCCGCTCGGCAGCCCGAGGGGCAGAGGCTCTGGGCCGTGAGAGTCGAGGCGGCCCAGCGCGCCCTGGTCTGCGTGCACTCCGAGGCGCCTGCGCGCTGCGCGTGCCTCAAAGTCGGCGGTTGCTACAATTGCCGCTGCCCCGAGGCGCCTCCAGTTTTCGTTCCGTTTTGGAGCGAATCCTGGGGGCGCCCTGGGCAGGGGGCACTTGTGGCAACGCCTGCCAAGGTCTCGAGGGTCGGCGGGGGCGTCGCGGTGGAGCACCGCGACGCCCTCGAGCAGCCGCCCGAGAACGCCAATCAGGCCCACGAGAGCCGCGCGCGACTTCACACCTACACCCCGCGATGACTGAGGGGGGAGGTAGGGTTCACTTTGTTCGGGAGCTGCCGAACGAAGTGAACCCCGCCCCCCCCCCCCCTCCGAGATCGCGGGTGGGGTTCGCGCGCGGCCCCCCAAGGCCGCCGGGGGGGTCCGCCGCGAGCTCGGCGCCATTGGCCCTGGCGGGGGCTGCCTTGCACCGAGCAGCGCGACGCCCCAAGCCGACGCCCGGCGTTGCGGCCTGCGAGCGAGTCGCTGGATCGAGCGCGCCCCGCGCGAGATGCGAGGCCAGGGCCGACGAGCGCCCGCGAGCATCGACGCGATGCGCGCCCGAGGCAACGAGTGGATCAACGAGCTCAAGAAGGCCGGCGACAACGACTTGGCCATGGCCAAGGCCAATGCCAAGCGCGCGCCCAAGCCTTGCAAGGGCCCCGCGGCGGCCGCGCCGAAGTGCGCCAACTTCGAGGAGGCGAGCGCTGCCGCCCAAGCGCGCGCCGAGCGCCTCCCCTGCCAGGGCGGCCCCAAAGGGCGCCGCGCCTGCGTGGTGGGGGAGTTCGAAGTCCAGCGCAAGAGAGGTTTCTCGGCCAGAACGGCCAAGGACCTCTCTCTCTTGCGCTGGCAAGTTGTCGGCGCGAGCCTCGTGGTCTTTCGAGTCAGTGCCGTGCCGAGCGCCTGCTGGCAAGTTGCGCGGTTAGCCGCGGGCCTCGAGGTCTGTCGAGTTATTGTTGTACCGAGCGCCTGCTGGCAAATTGCATAAGCATCGAGATTTATCGAGTCAGTCTTGTGCCGAACGCCCAGGACCACCCTCGTCTCATCATCATAATTTCGCCTTCCCAGGGGAAATCATTCTTTATCACCGCCACACCCCCGAACTCTATTATCCCCCGGCGACTATTATCGCCCGCGGTCGGTGAGTGGCATCCGCTACTATCCTGCTGCAAAGTGCGAGCGGGGAAACCGAACGCAGGCATCCCGATTGGCAACGTCGACGTCGAGCGGATCAACTACCACGTGTTCGCGGTGCAAGACCTTGCGTTGTCGAGCCCTCAGGGCGCGCTGTGCGCGCCAGCCTGGTCTGTGCGCGCGCAGAGAGACCCTGCAAAGATCAACGTGCACGCGTGGTTGAGTACGACCGTCGTCGGCGACCTTGAAAACATCACGGAGGGCGCCTGTGCAAAGGGAATGATCATCAACATCACCGCCCCGCACCTGAAGCCGGTGGTCATGAGCTCGGAAGGTGCTCAGGCCGACGTCCAGGAACTGGCGCGAAGCGATGCTGACTTGGGTTTTTCCAGAGGTCAAGGCGGTGGGGGACGGCGGTACATGTCGGTCTGGCCGATCCAGGGCTGTTCGCGTTGGACGCAACTGCTGGGGCGGCCCTTTCGCGCTAAAGAGTGCGTCGGTCTTCAACGCGGAAGGCAGGAGGAGAGAAGGAGGGAAGAGGAGGGGGAGGGAAGAGGAAGAAAATTAAGAGGAGGAGGAGAGGAGAAGAGGAAGCCTTGGGCGGTCGACTTCGATCATAATCAAGGTTGGGAGGGTTCGCAGCGTTGACACATAACGGCAGTGATGACAACTATCTGCAACAACAAAGAAAACATAAGAACACCGAACATCTCATACTAGCAATTTCATTGTCAAATCCCTCGCGCCACCACTCCGTCCCCTTCGCCAGCTTTCTTGACCATCCTTTTAAAAGACTTCCGAAAATGACCTTCGACTTCTTTGTCGGTTCTTCCGTCCTCCTTTTTTTTCCGTTTTCATATTCAACACCTCCCCGGGGCAGCAAACGCTTTGCCGCCTCAGGGGCGATGAAAACAGTCCCGGGGCACTTGTTGCCATCCCCAGCCATGGAGTACGTCGTTTTGAACGAGCAACTTTTCGCGCAGTTTCTTTGGCGCACCCGCTGCAGCTATGCATTTGTCGGCGGGGCGTGTTCCGCTGAAATCGTACGTCCACTTGTCGCAGACGCTCGGCGTTTTCCACACGGTAAATTTCAGTTGAAACATTTAGAACCGCCTTCGGGCGTGGCCGCGCATCTCCTTCCAGGAGGAGGGGCGTCTCAGGTTGTTCCCCCCCTTCCCCAAAAAATTCGCTTCCTGTGCGATTTTGTGTTTTCGATAACCTTATACTATTTTTTTTATGATGTGACCCCAGGGTGAACCTGATCTTCGATGCTTTCGCCCTGTTTAGTTTCGGCGGGGGAGCGTTTTTAGCCCCTCGTTGTTGGCGCATGTTTGTTTTGGCGTTCCCGTCTGGGTTTGGGGGGGTCGCGGGTCCGTTTGGTCTGCCCCCCTCCTTCTTCCGCTTTGCGTCTCCCCTCTTTTGTTTGCGTTTCTGTGGGTCAGGGGCGGGGGAGGGGCGCGCCGCGGCATTCGTGGCTCCAGCGATCGGCGACAAGGGCGGCGCCCCTGAGTCGACGTCGAGTTGCAATGCAAACGGTTAATTGTTTTGCAATGTTGTCGGAGTGATTTTTTCGAGTCGCGGCAGGGAGCAAGTTTGAAACGTTGACTGCGACCTGGCCGCCTTCGCAGGCGAGCCAGGGCCTTTGACCCCTTAACCGCACGCCCCATATAACATGAATTGACACCCTTTAACCCATGAGATTTGATTATCCCGGGCCAAGCTGCAGTTGGTCGGGGGAAAGGGACAGCAAGGCCGAACTCCTTCACCGCTAGGAAAGTACGAATCGAAGTTGCTATCCTCTTTCATTGATGAGCAGGGCGATCAAGGCATCGATATACCATATTTGCATCCCATCCCTGTCCCAGTACATGCGAGTTGCAGGGGCGAGGCGCCGATCATCCCCCCCGAGCCCCGAGGTTTTTTATTCCCCGGGTGTAACTCTCAGGGGCACTCGGCTAGGCCATCCAATCCTTATACATACCCGGCAAGTGTTCGTTGGCGACTGCGGCGCGCGATGTCGCGAAGCCCGTGGGATTTCCCCGCCAGGCGCGGCAGAGGCAGGCCTCGATCCAGGCCGAGATGGAGAGGCGCGCGCCGCGGCCCTCCGACGCGCGGCCGGTTGTCTCTTACAGTTGGTCCGCGGCCGCCGAGGCGAGCTCCCGCACGCCTGGGCGGCACGATCGCGGTGGCCCTCTTTCGGGGGGGGGGGTGCTCGGCGGCGAACTCTGGACCCTAATTACCCTCGCTGGTCAACGGCTCAGGCAACTCGATGGGCGGCGGGGATAGGGTTCGAAATTCGACTGAACACGTGAACACGTGGCGAAATCCGAACCCGACCTCCGCGTGCCATCGATTCATGAGAATCGATGGTTGTTGGTGGTCGGATGTCGCCACTGAAAGGCGAGTTCAGACAGCAGTAGTTGGCCTTCGGGGGGGGCCCTTCGTCGCCACGGTTGCATGCAGCTCGGGAAGTTGGTGCGTTTGGACCTGGGGACGGGTCTGGGTCTGAGGATCGATTTTGAGTTGCCGTTGCCTCAGCTCTCAGCTCGCCCTGTTCCGATGCTCGCGCCCTCTCCGGCCGCGGCGCAGTCGTCGGCCACGCGCGAGGGATGGCCTTACACAAAAGTGGCCCTTCGCTGAAGTGGCTCTTTGGTGCGCGGCCTTCCCGGGTGGGGTGGTGCAGTTGGCGGGGGGACAAGCGTTGGAGGGATGGATGCTTGAGCTATTGGTTGGAGCGTGTATGGAATGTGTCTTACCGAGTTGAAGCAATAGCCCTTGGCGAAGTATCGCGTGAGTTTGCAGCCCAACTCGGAAATCTAAGGAAAGGGGGGCTGGAGGCCCAGGGCACGCGGGCCGCCGCTGTCACACAGGGAGGAGGAGGCCGTGGGCGTGCAGCGTAGTTGTATCCACGGCCTCACGGCCCAGGCTTTTTTTGGGCCGCGCCCAAGCGGATGCAGGGCGGCGTTGCGCGGATGCCCCGCGCGGGACCTTCCCATGGGATCGCGCATCCGCGGAATCGCGTCTCGCCATCCGAACCGTGTATGCATGCATACAGTGGGGGCGCGCATCACGAAACCGTATGTTGTTCGTCAGGGTATCCTGGGTTTCTTCGCTCCGCACGCCGCGCGGTGACTTTCCGCGGCTGTCAAAAACGCTGCTGCGTTCAGGGTGCTCCGGGTTTCACCTCAGGTGCACCTTGCGCGCGGGTTTCAGGGTTGGATTTCTTGTGAGGGTTACTTGCGGCCGCGTCCGCATTGTATGGACGGGTTCGTCTCTCGTGACGACAGAGAGGAGTTCTCAACCTTCTTGCCTTGATGGTATCAGGTCTACTCTCTTCAGTGCGCCACGCGTCTCCCTCCTTTGATCTCCTGCTTTTCGCGCCGCCGCTGCTGCGCTGCCTGCTGCCTTTACCGGCGCACCCCTCATACAGAGCATGACCATACGTAATGAGCTTCGCCTACGTCTGGCCGTACGGCCCCAGCGGCGGTGTGCGTGTGCGGGTCCCCATCCCATGTCGGCATATTCGTCACGCGGATCGTGCCTTGCAGGGAGCTCCACCCATGGCCGTGGTGGGAGGGGAACTCGCATGCGCCCCCCTTGCCCGTGTCGGCGCGCCCCTCGCGCGCATCGTAGGTCGCGCCAGCTTCGGGGCGGCAGGCAACGCTCTCCCACCGGTGATGTTCAGTGGGTTCGTTGAGCTTCAGGCTCATATGCAGCCTCACCCTGACACTCAGGGGTTTAGGCCATAACTGTACACCACCCCTTGGCATACCAGAAGGTGTCCTGGTGCCCTCCTTCCTTCATACCCTTCGCAAAATAGATCACTGCGCCCCACCTTGTGGCTGAGGCGCTTGGCCCTGGCGAGCCTCGGCTTCCGCCCGTCCTGCCTTTCCTGCTGGAGTGGCCTGTAGATGTTATGTTGTTTCCCTCTCCGTGTGTACCCAGCTGTGCTTGTACAGCTCGTGTCTAGTGCCAGCCGCCGTTCGGCCGCATTCGGCATCTCGTCTTTTTCTCCCTCGCCTCCACCCTTAGGATCTCTCCTTCTCGCTCTTTCTCGTTTCGCAGGTGGTACGCTCGCTTATCCTTCAGGCTACGGTTCAGCGCATGTGCTTGCCTACCGCATGCCAGTTTGCGTGGTGTTTCCGGTTTGCCGAGCGACATTTTGATTCGCAGAACGGTCGAAGCAGAGTTGTGTGAAGTTTTGTGGTCGCGTCCCCTCTCTTAAAAGTTTTGTGAGTTGCAGATGCTGGCCCGCGCCCGAGAGGGCTCCAGGGAAAAAAAAACACCCAGACCAGTCGAATATGTTACCCGAGCCACGCCTGCGGTGCACGCCCTGGTACACCAAGTGGGAGGGGAGGCGATGGGAAGAGAAGGAGGAGGACGATGATGAGGAGGAAATGGAGGAGGAGGAGGACAAGGAAAAGGAGGAGGATGAGGAGGCGCATGGCGCAAGGCTGGCCAAGCTGCCGTTCGAGGGCGCCCACGACAAGGGCCACCAGATCCAGTTGCGCGAGGCCCCGTGCATTGGGATCGCAGTTGAATCGAACTTCTACCCTCCTCGTCTCATTCTTCGCCGCCATCTTACGTGATGGTTCTTTGACTGTCTGTTTCATTGAATTCTACATCTCAAGGCCCTTTCGGACCCCACGACCACTCGAAACGGCCTGGGACGAAAACCGGCCTTGGAGAGGGATCAGGAGGTCCGAGGTGGTAATCGCCAAAAAGACAACGCAGGAGGTCTTGGTTTCTCCGCTGCCATTCGACCCTTTCTTCTTCGCCGAAGAGACCGATCCAGACGCAAGCCTTGCGAATGTGATTAATTTCCCTTCCCTTTCCCCCTTCTGTTTGCTCCCTCCCCTGCCCTCTCATTCTCTACGGCAGAATCGCAAAGCATCGACCTGGCGGTGACGTTGGTTGGTTGAATCCCAGCGGTGGCCTGAACCAAGCCATTATTGAACGATCTCCGCTGTCCAGTAGAGAGGTCGTTCCAGATTGACCGAGATGGCCGTCAGAAACCAGTGTCGACGTTGTCACGACGGGATCCAGCCGCACCGTCTTTGGAGTCCACTAGGAGTTCGAAAACAATCAACCTTATAAACAAAGACTTTCACCTCGATCCTCTATCCTCCTATATGCCCCTAGGAGAACGTGGGCGCGAAGACAAACGCGCGTCGCGCTCGTCGTACCGCCGCGATCCGCACAGAAGGTTGGACTGATTGCCAGCTCGTGCAGCGAGGGCAGCTCGGGACACCTCTCCTGGAGCTCATGGCCTCCTCATCGTCCCCCTTCTCGTCGATCCTCGGGGTTCGATGATGTCGAAGGTCCTCCGTGGTGCCCTATTAGTGGTTGAGGGGTCCGCTGGCGGCCCTTCCGAGGCTCTCTCAGGCCGTCTTGGGCGTTTCGAAGACAATTTGACTGAGGGTTTTGGTGACTTCTGTTTCGGAGGGACCTCTTGAGGATCTTCGTGGGGAGTCTTAAGGGCCTCTTGGGCCGTCTTGGGTCAATCTTGCGCCGTCTAGGGGCCCTCCTGGGCCATCTTCGGACCGTTTTGAGCTCTCTTGGTGACCGTGAGGGACCATGTTGGTCGTCTTTGAAACCGTCTTGGACTGTCTTGGCCGCCATCTTGGCCGTCCTGGAAGCCATGGGGCCGTGGGGAAGCTTCAAGCGGCATGCGGCCAATCTCGCCACCGTGCCCAGAGGGCATCTCAGGTATCTCAGGGGTCTCCAGGAAGTCTCCTGGGGTATTTGTGGGTCGTCCTGGGGGGGCACGATCGGTTTTACAATGGGAGCCCGGGAGAGATGTGCACGTGCAGACACATCGACGAGCTGGCCGCCCCAAAACAAGGTGGTGGGACGATCTACTACGTTACGCACAGCAGTGCGTGCCGGATGCACCCAGATTTGCTGCAACTTGCAACCACGGATACTTGGGACAATATCAAATCAGGTACCTTGCGCAATGAGTGAGCCAGTGCGTCGTAATTAATCAGGTTGTCTATGTTTCACGTACATATTGTTACGCATTTGTTCACATACCGCTTTGTCCTCTCTCCGTGCTCTGTGTGTTGCCTCTCTCTCTCTCTCGCTCTCTCTCTTCTCTCGTTCGTTTGTGCTTTGTCTCGCGTCATCCCATGTGTCACCCATAGCGGCGCCCCGGCGCCCCCCTGCTGTGCCCCCGCGGCACCTCGACTGCAGGCCGAATGTCCGAATTAATGTCCTGGGGGGGCAAGGCGCAGCCGCCCCGGCGCGATTATTTTGAAGGCCCAGCTCAACTTGAACACCTGACAGATTTCGGTGAATATTGCCCCTGGGAGACTCACGCGGCACACACTGGGAGCGCCCAGAAGCGCCCCAGAATATCGAGAATAACGTGGTACCCCGCAGATGCGGATAAGAGTGAGGGAGCGGCGAGGACTTCGTCAGTCTGCGAGGCTCTGAAGAAGCCAGCCGCAGGCGCCTAACGTTTACAAAGTATGCAGTGAGCCTGCCGCAGGCGCAAATTTGTTGGTTAAAGCAATGTGGGTGGATCGCGGGGTCGGTCGCGGGGTGGGTCGCGGGTGGGTCGCGGGCGGGTCACGGGGTGGGTCGCGGGGTGGGTCGCGGGTGGGTCTCGGGTGGGTCGCGAGCCGGGTCGCGGATGGGTCGCGGGTCGCGGGTGGGTCGCGCATGGGTCGCGCATGGGTCGCGGGGGGGGTCGCGGGTTGGGTCGCGGGTTGGGTCGCGGGGTGGGTCCTGGGGTGGGTCGTGGGTGGGTCGCAGGCGGGTCATTGGGTGGGTCGCGGGGTGGGTCGCCGGTGGGTCGCGGGGTGGGTCGCGGGGTGGGTCACGGGGTGGGTCGCGGGGTGGGTGGCGGGGTGGGTCGCGGGTGAGTCGCGGGCGGGTCGCGGGGTGGACGACGACAACAACAACAAGCAGAATCCCCACCACGGATCCCCAGTTCAGCCACGCACCCACGGAAAATGACTGACCGCTCGGCCCCCTCACTCTGATTGGGAGATTCGGAGCTTGGGCCCCGCAAGAGGCCTTCAAGTTTCCCCGTGCTTCGAACGCCCGTGTGGTGAGCTCTGCCGCGCTCCAATGCGTGCTCAAGGCGCCGTGACGGATTAGCAGGGAAGAGGGATGGAGATGGAGGTGGTGCACAAACTTGCGGGGGATGACGAGGCGGAGTGCAAAAGAGGAGCAGGAGCAGGGGACGGAGTGGAAAGGTGGAGGAGTAGGGGGAATGGGCTCGGGGCTGCCACTTGAGTTGCGATTGCACCGAGCCTTGATGAGCTTTTTCCAGCCGCAGAAGTGCAACCAGGATGTGGAATTGCCATATCGATCGATAGTGGCGCCAGCTGCCGGCTGCTGTTTGAGAAACCAGGGCGGGCGGGAAAGGGAACATTGTGTGGATGGCATGAGGCAGGGCCGCCTACGATTCGATGCGATTCAATTCGCCGGCTGGGGCCGCGATTATGATTCGATAGGCCAGCATCGGCTCGGGCCAGAAACAGCCGGGCGCGGCGATGATTCGATTCGAGACGATTCGTTGGCGATCGGGCAATTTTCCAGGCCGATTTGGTTCCGCGATTTGATCAAGCTCAGGCCTGAGAGGGGAGGGGATGGAGGGATGGAGGGGGTGGAGGGGAAACATCGAGGAAGGGCGAGATGCACTCTTGGGCATACCGAGAGTCTCTTGGTAGGGGCGCGGTCCTCACCGCGTGAAGCGAACAACGAGACAAATCACCACAAACGTCATGATTTCGGTCCTCTTGTTCCTCCCCTCCCTCTCTCCTTATCAGTACCTTCGCCTCCTTCTCATCATCCATACCCTCCCTTTCCTACCTTATCCCGCCCTCACTCTTTCCCTCCTGATCGTCCCTCCTCCTCATCCTCCATCCTGCCACATCCTACGAATTCTCCCGCCGCTCCTCCTGACCTTCCTGCTATTGATCATCTCCTTCTTCCCCTCACGTTCCTGTCTCTTCCCCTTGCCTCTATCCTTCCTTCCTTTTACTTTTTTGGTTTAAGCCATCTTGCGGATGGTAGGGCCTCGGAATGCGTCCCCACCGCTAAGGGCCCATGGGTGACGACATTCCATTCCTCACCTCACGGGGCCGCAGTCCGTGTGTATCTTGTGTTTCTCTCTTTCTCATGCAGGGTTTCGCCGAGCAGATGAACTAATCCGTAAGGGCTTCGCCCCCCTTCCGCCGGCCCCCTCTCTCGGAGAATGCGCTATGCAAGCACTATGTCATGAGGCCTGGGCTGGGCGCTGTCGTGAAGCAGTATCGGCATTTCATGCAAGGCCGACTCGTAATGAGCAAAACCCATAGATCACCAGAGGGGTTACCACACCTGGCGATTGGTAAGACGTCGTGACCCTGCCGATCTGCGTGAGCGGTGCCACCGAATTTCAGAATTGTGGCAAATCCTTTGTGTTTTTGCACCCTGACCCCGCCGATCTGCGTGAAGGGTGCCACCGAATGTCAGAATGTGGCAAATCCCATGTGTTTTTGGACCCTAACCCCGCCGATCTGCGTGAGGGGTGCCAGCAAATTTCAGAAATGTGGCAAATCCTTTGTTTTTTTGCACCCTGACCCCGCCGATCTGCGTGAGGGTTGCCAGCAAATTTCAGAAATGTGGCAAATCCCATATGGTTTTGGACCCTGACCCCACCGATCTGCGTGAGGGATGACAATGTTTACCCACCCCAGCAATTCAGAGCACACGCCCAGGGCGTGCTAAACCTGTCCGTTTGGGCCTCCCCCCCCCTCGCGCGCTCCATCAACAAGGAACAGTAAACAGCAAGAAACAGAACTGTAACAGTGGAAACTGGAAGCTGCAACTGGTACAGGAAACTGCGAACCTTCGGCCTACAGCCTGGTGACCCCACAAAGCCGACGGATTTTTCTTTCTGAAGCCGGCTGGCAGCCCAGCGAGGAAATCGCAGATGGGGTACAATTCATGAGGCAAAGCCTTCAGATCAGGCGCTCTTCACGAAGCCGCAAGCTGAATGGATGCGGGACGCCGTAGGTTAAGTCGGAAAACGCGCCACTGGATCACCCTGTAGTTGAAAGGGGGGGGGTCCGACCCCCCCTCCCCCTCGAAGCGGGGGTGATATTTTCGCTCCCCCCCCCCCTGGGCGCTGGAACGGGGGGGGGTCGACCCCCCCCCTCCCCCCCTTTGCGCCGAACAGGGACCGGGGAGATGGCCTCTCCTGCAAGGAGCGGGGTCGGGCCTCGGGATAGTGAGTAGTGAATTGTGAGTAGAAGGTAGTGAGTAGTGACTAGTGAGTAGTGAGTAGATAGTAGCGAGTACTGAGGAGTGCGGAGTGAGTAGTAAGCAGTGACTACTGAGTAGTGGGTAGTGAGTGGTAACTAATAGGTAGTGGGGAGTGGGTAGTGAGTAGCGAGTAGGGAGTAGCGAGTAGTGACTAATGAGTCGCGAATAGGGCACTTTGAGTAGAAAGTAGTGAGGAGGGAGTAGTCAGTAGTGAGTGGCGAGTAGGGAGTAGCGAGGAGTGAGTAGTGAGTAG